ATGCATACAATTGCTTCGAATAAACTAATTACATACAAATTATTAAAAATTTCAGTTACGTTTACTCAGACGTATCTTGTTGCATTCTAATTGCTTACACAAAAAGAAAACTTTAAACAAGAGAATTTCAATTTTTATTGCATATAACTTGCATTTTTGTAACCTCAGATTAAATTACAGTACTTTACTCACTATTTTTTTCAAAGTAATACTTCTAGTTTTCATTTTATGAATGAATGAATAAATTAAATGCTACAGGGAGATCGAGGCTGAGAAGTTTGCAATGAATAAGTAATGTTAATTTGAAGCACAACCATGAATTTAAATTAAAAAAGCTGAAGTGGTATTCGAAATATTAGCTTAAATATTTCTTTTTTTGAAATCTAAAAAGTTTTGATCATTTTCTGATATGCTTTTGAACTGATAATTTTATGTAAAATTTTAAACTATTCAAAAAAGCATGACAGCAAAGGCAGAAAATAAATATTCAGATCAAGCCATTTCATATATTATTTAAATTGGTACTGATTACACATCGTTGGAAAGTTTTACTTGCCTATGTCTAAAAGGGACAGATTAGAGAAGTTCATCAATCCATTTTTATGCAAATAACTTCCAAAGTTTAATTTTAGTAGCACATTCTATATTATGAGTTGATATCTTTTGCGTAATGCTTTCGGACAAATTTATCCACTTTTCACTTTGCTTTAAAATGATTAAATGTAAAACGAATTTGCATAAATTTCATTACCCTTTTCATTCAAATTCAATTCATCTATATTTTGCTCGCATTTAATTCTAAGCACGCAATCACTTTTTATTGTTTGCTTGAAAGCACAAAATAAGAAATTCATAACATACTGAAGTTTGTTTTGATGCAAAAAAAATTTTGTCAATCAAAACTTTTTTGCTTTGCGTTTATTATTTTTTAGATTTGACACAAATTTTGATCTAAAGTCAACTGCATTTTACTTATTTACTTACGACAAGTTTTTGCGCTTTATAGTTTTGTTTTTTAACTCAAGAAGTAAACAAACTTTTTATCAATAATAATAATAATAATAATAATACTAGAAATAATAATAATATGTGTTCTTACTGAAAAAATGTTTTGCGTATAAAAATAAATTCAAAATTTTTGATTTATCTTAAAAAGTGTACATATTAGTATTATTTTTACATAAATCAAGTTAAATCTTGAATTATTCATTTGATAAAAAAGATTTCAGGTGTTAACTACATTTCTTATGCTAGATGACAGCTGCCTTCAAGAGTTGCAATTTTGAAAGATATTTAATGTAAACTTTGACCTATAAAAAATATCAATCCATCATTTATCGGATATAGAACAAATCCATTAAAACTCTTCAATTTTCATCTATTGTTTCGCATTTTCATTATTTCTACTAATACACTTGGGGCAGTAACTAGCATGAAAAACTACTCACTTACTTTAATACTAAATTTTACTTGAGGAGTTCCCTCTAAACCTGACCTTTAATTATTTTATCGTCAATTTTTTATGAACAAATTTTTGCTTGCTGCTTTACTTGAATGTTCTCTTTAAATTACTGAGTACAGTAACTGGAAAAAAAGGCAAATTCATTAAATATTAAGGCAATGAACGATCCATGCATACTTATATGTGCACAAATTATTTAACGAGTAATAAATAATATTTCTACGTAATAATTTAAGTCTTCCTGTAGCAAAAAATGGATATATCCTTTCGTACACACTCAGCAATATCTGTTATGGGTGTGTGTAGTGAAGGTGCGGACTGATAGAAACACACAAACACACACATGTACGCACACAATGCCATAGATATCAAGTATGGGAAGCAGCTGTCCATTCTTTCTACCTCTCCTTGACCAGTCTTTTCCATTCAAACCCCGCACCCTTTGACCCTTTTAGGGCTCTTCCCGCGATGTCCTGCTGTCTCGTTACCTACACTTTTAGGATATTAAACTTTTTTCAAAACTTATGAATCAATATCCTTCAAAATTAATGTTAGCACTAAATTTCATACTATTTGCATGCAATTATCCCTTGGAATTATATTTGCTATTGTGCTGTATGTATAATTTTATACAATATACATGTCATTTAGAAAAATTTTTTTCTTCTATGCAGGAAAGCAATATTATTTCCTAAAGATGTGCTGACTTTTAATTATTTGTACTATATTACTTGTAGAATCTTCCCGAGAAAGATATAACCTCATCTTAACCTTTACTGCATCATATTCAGTACTTTCTAATATTTACCTTTTCAGACTTGATTATTCTCGTTTTCTATTCATTTTCTCTATCATAATTTCATTAAGTAATAAGCTAATGCCTTATCATTTATGTATGCTATTATAAAAACAACATTAGTTAAAGTAATGCTTAAGTTTAGAAATTAGTAATTTAGTAACCAGCTGATTAGGATATTTATTATTATATTGTGTAAATAGTTTATTGCTTTAAGTAAACTGCAAACTTTCTAATTTGGAAAATATTATAAATCATTTTTACTAATCTTTTGCTTATTGTTACTTTCTCTATCCTTTTTATTATACGTGTACACACGCACACGCACACGCACAAGCATATATATATATCGAGAAGTTTTAAAATGTGAAGTAAAAGAAAGCATAGAAGCATGGCTTGTTCACTGGCATCAACATCGCTAACAAAATATTATAGCAAATGGAAAAGATTTCTTTAAAAAAATTATTTTGCAATGAATTTTAGTTAGTAAAAAAGCTTAGAAATTTCGTCTAGCATTTTGTTCATTTTCTTCCTTTGTGCATTTAAATTTGAAATTTGTCTGCTTTGTTATAATAATAAAATGCTTATTCTGACTCAACAAGCTAGAATGAACTAATGCAAAGCAACGCAATTCAATGCTAGCCAAGTTGGAGTAATGCAAAATAATCGTAATTCAGAATTAACATGAAAAAAAGATTTTTGCGCAAGATAACATACACATCTATTGCTATTTGCAAGGACGATTTCTTCACTTGGCTGAATATAAATGCAAATTTTCTTCTTTATTCATCCAATCGTTTTCATAAAATATGCAAAATAGTAGTAGTTCAACTGTACTGAATTGAGAAACTTTTTGATCTATTTTTTTTATCCTTTGAAATTTTTATTTTTATTATAATAATTGTTTTCCATTACCTGTATTTATTCCTTTTTCATTTATGCAAATCTGTAATCTTTTATTATTTTTTTAAAGTAAATAAAAGATAAAAATTAAAAAAAAATGGAAAAATCTATTATTATTTTTTAAAGTAAATAAAAGATTACAATTTTGCCTGTATCATTTTGATACTTATGGTTGCTTGTATCATTTTGATCTGATTGTACAATCTGCCAATCGATTGATTAACTTATTGATTGATTGATTTGTGTTACAATTTTATAGTTTTTTGTCAAGAATAAGTTCAAATTGGAAAAGCATCTGCTGTAAATATTAATGTCAAGAAGAGATTGCTAAATTATTTTGCTTTAATGTGTAAGCAATGTAATCAATTCTAACAGCATATTTTTTTGATCCATAGTCAAGCAAGAAATACTTACAAGTTAGTACTATCAGTGTAACTCTTCGATAAATCTAAACTTTTACATTTATTTATTCCAAAATAATAATTGGTAATTTAATTAATTATATTAAAACAATTTTTAATTTCCACGTCTGATTTCTAGCTGTTGTAATCAATTCTGCTATTCTGAATCTCTCTCATACTATGCATTTTATTTCTTCTCCGCAATTTTTCCTTTCATTTAAGTTATGTTTTGAATGTATGCATTACTGTAACCCAAAAATTGCATCGTTTACGTGCATACCAAATTGTTCTCTCAAGCAGGTAAATTTTTTTATCATTACTTTACAGAAATTATTCCTGCAAGAGATCAATGATTGAAAAAAGATTATAATCATAATAATAATTACTATTTCGGACATTTTCTCCACATTTATATGAACTGAATACTCTTATTGGTGTAGCAGAATTATAACACCATCTGTATTGTATATGCGCACTCATTCATCACCATAAACTAAATGATTAGTACATCTCTGTGAGACAGTTTCTAGGCAGTTTACCTTATCTTAACAATATTTCAGTGCTATTATTTTAGTATTATTGCTAATTGAATAAATATTGTTTGATAATCAAAAGTATATTAATTTAAGTACTCGTAGCATATACGTACTTTTACATTTTTTACATATATTATTCACTTTTTCTTATTCTTTTCATCCTTTTTCTCATCTCAAAGCGTAAAAATACTTTTTAATAATTATATTCGTAAATATATAGAAACTGTAATCGTAAACACATGGAAAATGATTTGTTTTCTGTTGCAATTATTTTTTCAACTTACATCAAAGTTATTAATTTTTCAATCAAAATGTCATACTGGACGGAACCTTCCTTCATCTTCAGCTTTGATACAATAATTGTAAGTACTGAAATAATTCATATTAGATAAGAGTAATTACAACTGATTGCTATGCTAAATTGTAAGCAATTACATACGTTGCTTAAAAGTTTTTTCTGTTCTTTTTTCTAAAAAAAAGACATTCGTTAGTGAATACTACTTGTCTAGCAATACTTTTTATATTCTCAATGATATTTCTGGAAAATTTAAGCAAAGATTCAAAAAATTTCCATCAAAAGATGTTTTCCAATTTTATCTACTTCTCCTTTTGAGATTTGAATGAATGATTTAGGAGTGAGTGAAATGCACGAATGCTATCAATGAAACGAAAATTTAGCTTGAAAATTTAAGGCTGTACCAAAATTTATGCATATTTTTTAGGCTTTTTACATTTCATTCTCTCTCTTTTATGTGTATGTGTGAGTGTGTGTGTGTGTGTGTGTGTGTGTGTGTGTGAATAAAATATCACTTGTTTATTTTATTATTTTCTTCAAATATAAGAATTGAAATGAGAGAGTAAGTAAGTAATTTTGTTGCTACCAAATTATAAGTTGTCGTGAAATGAAACTTAAAAGTGAATTAAGCTCAGCAATAGATAAGCATTGCATTCAGAGCATTCACCGAGTAAGCAAGCTCATTTTTCATTGTGTAAAACGCACTTAATCTCTTAGAGTTGTTAAGCATTGCTTTGGTAACACTGATAGGCTTGTAGTCATTTGTATTCATTTTTATTCTTTTCTCTCAAGCAAACTCTTTAAAAATTACGTTTGTGCACAGAATCATTACTATAAATAGAACATGCATTAATAACTTTTTAATTACTACTGTATATTTATCATTAATTATTAATTTATTTTTTAGTTTCCAGAACTTAATTAAATTTTGATTAATTAGACAAAAGTGGAATTAATTAAGCGCTAGCCTGATTTCAGCGAAGATTTCTGTTATCGTTTTACATTTTAGTTCATTTTTTCAAAAGATACAAGTTAGCGATTATCGCATTGATTTAAGTAAAATTAATTAAATTGCATGTTGTATTTATTTGTTTTTATTGCTAAGAAATGGCTTTAATTACAAATTAGATCATAGCAATCAATTGATACGTTTGATCAATGACTGACAAATTAAATTGATTAGTGAATAGAAAATTAAAGTACGTGAAAATTAAATTATCTTATGCTAACTTCATTTTGCCATTATTTTGTACTCTTTTTATTGTTTAGTTCAACTGTATTGTTTTCAACAAACTGATTTATATTATTTAGTCTTAGAAAAAGTTTTTACTATTACTGTAGAAAAGCTAACATAAACTTCGAACTTTTAATACTTAATTAATAAATGAGCAGGTGAATTTGATACTTATGACAGCAATTTGACCTATAGCACTAATGATTAAGTTTTGTAACTCAAATTTAATTTTTTTTATTAATATATTAGCAGAAGTAATACGATTTTTTTTCCATTCTTCCGGGCAAGTGCTATTTTTTGCAGCTGTATGTAAAGGAATGAAGTTTGAATTGCACTGACTGATTCCAATTTGAACTTCATTACAACTTTGAAAAGAGACATCTGTAATTACACATTTTTTTGCATTAAATAATTAAAAATTTTTATTTTCTAAACAAAAACTTTTGGGGGACTATTGCAGCAATTTTTGTCTATCATTTATTACTCATATATTTATTCCAATCAGTGATTCATTATTTTGCTGTGTAATTATGCGATTATAATATTTAATGCAATTTTCGATATTCAATTTCAGAATTTTCAACTTTTAGAAGAGCACTATTTTGCGATCAAAATTGAGGCCAAATTATTATTATCGGTTCATTCCGATCACTTTATCAGTGCTCTGTTCTGTTCTAACTATTCTATTAAATAATTCTGTCCATTTCTTATCTAAGCAAGTTTTGTTATCATTTGAGCTATAATTCCTGCCCATGCAATGCTTTCTCTTCAGTTGAAATTGCCTTTTTCAGCCTCATTATCATCGTTATCAGCTGATAAGTGCCTCACAATAAATTTATTTATATTCACAGCTGTGTCAAAATACATTTAATAATTCAGACTGAGTTATTATCATTATTATTGCTTATTCTCATCAAGCATACAAGAAAATCTGTACTTTATCCATTTTTTCTCACGTGGCTACCTACTCATTCTTTCCTTATCTCAGAGCCATTGAGCAAAATAAATCTTGCTTGCTGTATTTTTTCATCTATTCACATCTGTCTATACTATATTCGGAAGAAAAGTTCTGTTGTTTCGAAGGGATTAGCAGAAGAAAGTTGAAAATTTTATAAATCCTCTTATTTTTGCTATATTTTCAACATCACCTGAATAATATATAGTGAAGAAAAGTTTGCTAATTGTTGCAATTTTGTGATTCTAGCCGTTGGATTACGAAGATCCAACGCAACGCCAAGGTTTTACTCTTGGTATTCGTGTTTATGATGGACGATATTATGCAACAACCAAATTATTCATCAAATTACTTGACTGCAACGATAATCCACCAGTTATCAATGGTCCGCAATTTGCTGAATTACCAGAAAATTCAAGACGTGGCAAACAAATTGCCCGGTTTACAGTTCAAGATGCCGATGCAAATGACACAGCATTGTGAGTATCATACTGATAATGCTAGTACTACTTCTGCTAAACTTACCAGTAAATTTCAACAAGAGGATTCCTCAGTAGGTCAAATAACTTATAATCATGTAAATGATTATTATTCTTGGTTTCACATGAAAAACTGGCAATTTCCAAGGAATTGTATATTTTTGAGGCTTATTCTCATTGCATTGTTATGTACATGGGTAGTAGTAGAAGCTCAAGAGCTATCACACCTTCTTCTTGGTTCTTATCCTGGTCAATCACGATTTCTGAATTTTGCTGGTAAAAGTCAGCGGGATATTGTAGTAAGACTTACCAAAAATTTAACAGAAGATACACCTGTAGGCACACTGATAGCAACATTTCGTGCCGAAGATAAGGATTCAATGACTCATAATTTGACGTAAGTTCAGTTTTATTCAGAAAGCAAGCAAAAAAATAAGCGAACCTAAGATTTTGCATGTCTATTCATGTACTACTAATTAATTTGATACAAATTAGTTTAAAGTTAACTTGTCCTAAAGATTGTCAAAATTTGAATGAATTTTAATGTCATTTTTTTGACTGCCTGTGCAATAAGCTAAAATCATTGAGTTCAAAGCTAATCGTAGTGTGTATAATATTCACTGCAAATACAGCTTAGTTTGGAGGAATATTGGAAATCAAATTTGACTTTCAATTAGTGTAACTTGACAATATATTATTTATTATAAATATGAAGCATTTATTTATCCGTTGAAAGGAACGAAGATAAAAATTAGTTCAAAAAAGCGTAAGGGAGAGAGTATGAAGAAAGAAAGCCAAGTGAGAGAAAAAATAATATTACTCGTATTTTTGTTATTGAAAAACTTCCCTTTCAGAACTCTTTGAAACGCTTAGATAAGTCTTTTTATTTGAAATTGAGTTTACATGTAAAATGGATTGATTTGCAGTATACTTTAGCTTGCAAAGTGCCTTTCTTATATTATAGAATGTATGTAATATAAGAAAGTTAATTTCCTTCACAATACAATTTATGCATTCATATCAGATGGCATTTTGTGAGCAAAGTTTTGCATTAGCCGTACTTTTGAAGTAATAATTATATTATTAGTAGTAATTAGCTTCAACCTGTTGGTGAAGTAAACAAAAACAAAAGAATGAATGAATGAATGAATGAGTGAATGAATGAATGAATGAATGAATGAATGACTTTTGAAATTTAAATTCAAATTCGTTTTTTTGTCTTTAGCAAAAAAGAGCGGAATTGAAAAATATTTTTTGTTATTTTTTTTCTGGACCAAAATATTTGAATTGTGCTGTTTAATATGTGTAAAGAACACACAGGGCAAACAATATAAACATAATACTTTGGACAATGCAGTCAGATATCTTGAAAATAGATAATGATAATGATAATGATAATGATGATAATGGCGATAATAATGAAGACTGTAAAGGTTGACTATTATAAAAGGTGTGATGACACTGATTATCGGTACCATACGGTGAGAGCAATGTTTTGCGACATATATCTTTCAATCGATTCGTGTCAAATGTCACATTCCTTTCAAAGGAGCAAATTATGATTATGTAACAGAAGAAAAAGTTTCCATGTTTATTATGTCAACTGCGAATAACATCTGACTTAAAAAGTTTTTTAAAATTTTAATTGTAATTATTTTGCTCTTTTCAAAAAATTTCACAAATATTACTAGCATAATTATTTTAGCATATTTTATTTACTTATAGCTAAATATTTTTATTGCTAAAATTTATAGCTTGAAAAGTTAGAGCTTGAACTCGATAACTATCTATATCTATTAACTTCTGTCAATAAATAAAATATGTAAATACTAAGCGAATAAGCCGTAGATTAAATAGAAAAGTTGGCTAGTTGGAGTGAAGTTTGTTGCAAAGTTTATGCGTTTGCAGTGCTTTACTCAATTTCTGAATGTATTACAGTACGGTATGATATGAAAATTGTTTTAGAAAATAATTACACATAGAAAAGTCAAATTTGCAATTACTATGCAAATGATTTTAGCTGAAATTATGGAGTGAGTAATTCCATTTGTGACTTATTTGAAAGAGTTGCGCTTTACCCACTTTTATTTCTTTCAATGAACGAAGACGGTGCCAAATTTTTTTAATATTTTGCTTTTTTTACCGCAAAGATTTCCGTTTAGCCAACGAGAACAGCTGTTTCTTTTTTCTACACGTTATTAGAATAAAGTCAGTGTTGTAAAAGACCGTTACGTGTTTGATTGATTTGGAGATGAACAACTTGCCGGCAGTACTTTGATAAAATTAAACAAATTTGCATAACAAAAGTTACTCTAATCACTGCTAAAGTATTTACGGCATTCATTTGTGATACTTCTGAGAAGATAAAACATTTTGCTTCATAAAATTCTTCTTTATTGAAAAAAGATAACTGAAAGGCAGTAATCAATATAACTTATACTTTTTATAAAAGTATATTGATTACTTTTATAAAAAGTGTAAGTTATATTGATACTTGAATTGAAGTTAATGTGCCTAAATGTTTATGAAAAATAATTCATGCCTTTATCTGCAATTTTTTACAAAATTTTCTATTGAGGAATACTTCAAAAGTTATAATAAAAGAGTTTCCTAAAAGTACAGTACTATTTATCATTTACAAAAAAAAGAATTAATCCTGTAATTAAACTGTAATTGCTATTTTAAATATTGACCTTTGAGCAAATATCGCAACCTTTTGTGACAATTTCATGAATCAATTATTTATTTACCATTTTTAGCAATAATCTAGAAGTAAACAAATAGTACAGGGAAAATTGATAAAATCGATGGTCATTGTACTAATTTATTGCAAATAGAAAGTGATTTACTTTTTCAACTTCTGCAAAGGTGAGAGGTCATTTACAATGCTCTATGATTGATATTTTCTGAAGCCTTTTGTTTACTCAATTTCACTCTTGATGACCATATGGTCCAAACATATTCTCATGGTATTGCACAAGGCAAAAATTATTATTTTGAAAAGCTATAATTCGATATCTTCGCAACAATTACCATTCACCAAAAAAAGTCTAAAATTGAAGGTAATTCGTAGAATTTGCAAGATTAATTACTGCTCAGAGTATTACCTATCATTACTTATTGTTCTTACTTAGTCACTTAGTCACTTAGTCACTATACTCATTACTTAGTTGCTCCACAATTCATTTTGCTATCTTTTAGCTTTTGCGCAAGCATTAACATTTTTGTAAAAATTAATATTTCTGCTTGAAAAATGATAATGCCAGTCATTTTCATCAGTTCTCAATCATCCAGCAGAGCAAGACAGAGTTTGGTATGTTTTTTGCTGAGAGAGGTTTACAGTATCAGTTGGCTATCACAAAAACTGATCAGAAATTTGGAATTGATGTTAATTACTACTGCTTTTGCTGTCAACAAGAATTAGTAGAAAGAAACAAAAAGTTTGCTTTCCTAAATTAACTTGACTGTGTGAAAATCATTTAAGCTAAGTTTACCTTATTTGTTGACTGCTATAAATAGTATTAGTAAATCAGGTCTAGCCATTTGTAATTCAGACAATATTCAAACATTAAAATCGCACTTATTAACAGAAGGATAAAAAGAAGATCGATTATTGTGATTCCGAGCTTTTCAGCGTAGTAATTTCATTTTTCAAGGTTAAACGTAAATTCTTTCGCCATCACGTGAAATGTTCTATAAAAATTTCGACTAATTAGAATTTTTTTTGGTAGTGTAAATATAAAACATATTGGCATTTAGCTTTGTTTTTAATAAATTTCTAGAGTTAGTGTGCCAACTTTATCGTAAATTGTATTTAATGCCAGTTGAAAGTAATTGAATTTTGGTGCAATAATTTTAGCTATTACTTTGAGCTGAATATGTAGTAGTGAAGTATACACACAGAATTGAGGAAATTCATGAGATATAAAAGTAAGCTAATAGAAAGTTAAAGGTCAGCAGAGAAAAAGCTATTTCAGTGCAATTAAAATAGTTAGAAACGAAGACTATCAAATTTGAGGGATAATATTGGTAAGTTATAGTCAGTTATTCAAAAGTAATACTAGTTGGCAAAAGTATTGTTATTTGAAATGACCAAATTTTTAATGATTTTTAGATTTGTTCACTTATGATCAGTTTTAGATTTCGGATCAATCGTCAAACTGATCCAAAACGTCAGTTTTCTATTGATCAGAGTGGTTCGTTACGAGTTGCTCAACGACTTGATCGTGAAGAGATTCCAAAATATAATTTAGTAGTTGAGGCATTTGATTCAGGTATTTATTTACAGTATATAATTTTTTGATTACATTTATGAATTAATCATCATTTTTATGATTTTTAGTTGCAACGCTTAAAAAGCACCAATTTTTATGGTATAAATTACTGAAATGTGCATAATAAATGGGAGTATTTTGCAAAAAAAGAGAAAAATAATTTTTATGAAAAATGAAATTTTGAACTAAAAGCAGAGAATGTTAAAACAAATAATAAAATAAGTGGTTTCCTCCTCAGAAATAACATCACCAAATCTCAAAGTTTTTTTCATTACTTGACAAGATTTATCTGTATTATCAGTTGGAATGTCTTATTTTCAGCGGGTAATGTTGGCTTTCAAACAATTGAAATTTATGTTCAAGATGTTAATGATAACGCACCCGTACCATATACGGTGCCTAATCCATGCGTATTTATGGAAAATACTGATCCCACAATGCAGCCGAAATGTGAAATTCGGGCATATGATCCAGATACCATGTATGTAGAAATTATTTCAATTCAAATCTTGATAATAATTTGTTAATAAGTTTAATATAAACAGAAAAAAAGTGATCTAATTTTAGTGAAAATGGACCTCCATTCATGATGAAACTAGCATCAGATTTCAAGTACGGAGCATATCTAAATGTTGTATACAATAAAAGTAAGCAGTTTTTAGTTTATTGATATGTGAACAAATTGTAGTCAGAAAATTAATTGACCTATAATTTTTATTAATTTTGTAAAGATGGTGACAATGGCAATGGTTCAATGATTGTCACCGCGAAGCAGCGATTTGATCGTGAAGCTGAATTTCCTGGCAAACAATTGGAAATACCAATAATTCTGAAAGATTCGGGAGGTTTACAATCGGAGCGATCAGTTTTCATTATTATTGGAGATGAGGTGCTTACTTTATGCAACTTATTTTTCGTTTTTTTAGATTTCTATATATTTTTATGTGTAATAATAGCTGCTTGAAAATGAAAGAATAATGTATAATAATTTATTTGAGTGATAAATGCCCAAAATGCTTCTAACGAAAATTGGAAAGAATCTGAAGTATAATATTTTTTGTTAGTGTGTTTAGCAAAGACAATATGTGCTAAATTATTCCTGTACCATATATATATATCGTACAGGATTTCTTGAATATGACTGTTTGCTTAAAGATCTAACAAAGCATCGAATTTTCACTGAGATTTGCATTGATACAAAAAGAAGTTAGTATAACTAGAAAAAATATAATGAATACTTCTCTAATCAGATGCATCTTTTGATGCTATTTTTACAACCACAAAAACTTCAAAGAAAAATAAGGTTATGGCAGAAAAGATCTCTGAGATATGTATTTTGTTACGATAAACAGAGCATTCAGATGTCCGTTTCATGCCGTTAATATTCCAAAGTATTTGCATTAAATACTCAATTCTCATCTTCTATTTATAGATAATTTTTGCTATAAATTTATTTATGCAAAGAAAAATATAAAGTAACATTATTAGAGAGTAATATTACTAGTTTTGTAAAATTTTAACAAATTTTAAATGTCATTTTATAGGATTGAATTTAGCAAAGCAGGAGATAACAAAATATAATCCTACCATTAGTTCTAGCTTAATCTCAAATTAATCTGTAGATTTTATATTAAAAAAAAAAGTAGACTGAGGCTGTGCAATGATTTGTAGAGGTTTTTCTCATCTTTTGTTTAATATGAGTGCTGCATTCAGAAGGGTCATTCATTTAATAACGAATATTCATTTGTTTGAGAGTTCTATGCAGCCATATTAGTTGTAAAACGAGTGGGTAATTTACGCATAATTTGATCATTTATTTAGGGAAAATCTTTTCATACACAAATGATTTCGGAGACAAACTTATCAAAATCATATTAATTCTTCTAACCAAAATAAGGCATATGCAAATTTTGAAACTACTTATGTTTATAATTTGAGTAAGAAAAGTTTTGCTGCAAAGCGATGAAAAGAATTATTCTGTGACAAATAGAATTGCTTTGCTAGAAAAGTATGTATTTTTTGCTTCAGAATGATAATCCGATGAAAGACGGTGAAATGACAATTTTTGTGAATAGCTATTTGGGGCATCTCGAGAAAACAGTCATTGGACGAGTGTATGTAGAAGACAAAGATGACTGGGATCTACCTGATAAAGTATTCTCCTGGGCACCGGGTAAATCCTTGCCTGGATTCAGTCTTGCATCTAATGGAGAGGTCATATTTCTTTCTTTGATTTTATTACAAAAATTGTTATTTATCCCTTAATTAATTAATGCATGCATGCTTTCACAATTTATATTAAATTATAAAAAAGTTTGGTGTAAAAAAGTTATTTAGTTAATTGCAAACACTGAACTGACTAAAATTGTAACTCAACTAAATTCATTTTATATTATTATAAATTATTACAAATTTATGTTTGAAAGAAATTTCTTCCTGAAATTATCGTTGCACAATATAATTATGATTATTTCTTGCAGTTTAATATTTTATTTGCGTGTATCAATTTCTCTGAGCAAAAATTCAGATATTTGTGGGCTATTTTTTTTTAATTTCAGTACTATTTTGTATTCTTATTGCTTACTGTAAATTTTTAGATTACAATGGATGCTGAAATGCCTCCTCGAACTTATCAAATGACTGCTAATGTGCTTGATAAAAAACGTAATGAGAAAGCGCAAGGTGTTGTAAATGTGATTATAAAAATAGTACCTGCTTCAGCCTTTGAAAATCAGGTTCTTACCTTTTTTTACTTTACAAACTTTTGGGGATAAATTTATATTGAGGAACTGACCTGTAAATAAAATCTTCTGATACTTTGGTGTAAAATACTAAATGGAATAATTATAGGGTGCAGTAAGAATTATGCTTTCACCTAATGGCTTAGATTCACCAGGAAGTTTTATACGAGTGGATTCCAGTGGTTCTAGTCCAATGAGTCGATTTGTGGATAAAATGAACGAGTATTTAGATGGTAGCTCAGAACTAGATGTTTTCTCTATTAAGGTTACTTATTTAAACAGATAAAAATTACTTTTGCAAACATTGGTACACATTTGAAAATTAACATATCGAGTCAAGAATGCATTTTTTTTTCATGACAAGACTATATTTTTATTTAATCTCTTTACTTAGTTGATTGTATTTTAGTTTCGGAAAAATTTTCAGCAAGATCAAGCAGTACTGCAAAACTATGCTCCAGCTGTCTTGGACGTTCGTTTTTCTGCCCATGGCAGTCCGTACAAAAGTCCTGTCATGCTAAATGGCTTGATTGCCCAGCATAGGGCTGAGTTAGAGCAAGTTATTGGTGCTACTATTGTATCAGCTGGTATTGATATGTGTAAATTTACAGTTTGTGATAAAGGTTGTCAAACAGTCAACCACGCCAATGAGGTAACACTTTTTGGCAATTTAAATTGTTATAAATTTTTGTGAACCTTTAGTATTTTTATTATTTTTTGGTTATAAAAATAGTGAAAATTATTACTAAAATTAACTACAGTGCATAGGAATATACTTTAAATAAACACATTAATAGTTAAAAATTTTTACAAAAAGTAATGTACAAAATCCTTCAAGCATTATTCCTTTATAATTATAATTGTTAAACTCGACTAATATTAAATATCTGAAAGTTTGCTAATTTGGGATTTTAAATTTTAGCAAGGAATTGTAGTAGCAGCAAATGAAACCGTGGTAGTTGGAGTGAATGCCTGGTCAAACGATACGTGTATCTGTCCAGTTTTCATACCACCTTCTAGCTGTCAAGCGAACATATGTCTCAATTCAGGTGTTTGCCATAACACCTATCCTGGATTCTTTTGTGAATGTCGCAATACAGCACTTAAAGGTTCACGATGTCAAGGCACTACACGTTCGTTTGATGGTGAAGGATTTGCTTGGTTCAAACCAGTCCCAGCTTGTACTTCATTGAATATCACTTTGCAGTTTCTAACAAGGTGAATTATTATTCAAAATTAACAATATTTCTTTCAAAATTTTTATTGCACATTTCCTATACAACTGTTAATACTAAAAAAATTAACGTATCGTTGTTGATTAAAAAAAAATTGACACTTTTATTTTCTAAATTATATTCAAATTATAGACAGCCTGATGGTTTACTGCTATACAATGGTCCGATGGGAGATAATAATGCATTTGGTCAAGCGGATTATAAGGATTATGTTGTGATCAGATTGGTTGGTGGCCGTGTGCAAGCGGACCTTATGTTCAACGGGATTGTTGCTAATCCTATTCAACTTTCAAGCTCAGATCCTCTTAACGATGGCAAATGGCATACCGTTACATTAAGTCAAAGCGGCAAAGTTTGCATTTTATGAATACATGCCTCACATGAATTATTCATTA